TTTTTTTCTACCAATTTATGTTTATTTTCAAGATGCGTCAGCAATTTTCATGACTAATATCCACTGTGCATGAGCATGCATGTTCAGAGAGATTATCAATGACTCACAGAGTTAAAATTTGGGATTAGATGGTTAGGTTCGAAATTGAAACACCGTGATAGTATGGGAATTTCATCCTTTTTTTTGTGGTTTATTCTGCAAAGGGTTTACATATTGCATACGGGCATGCAAGATCTTTTCCAGAAGGTAGAAAATAGATTAAAACCAACCGCTAGTGGAGTTTAATTTCCACCCATAGCATCCCCACTTGTACAAAATGACAAGCAAATCTCTGGGGTTTCACCTTAATGATTAAGCCCGGCGGGCTTAAAGATGGCCGGACTGCAACATGTCCAAGGTCTGGCCAAAATGGAAAATTGCCAGGGCTTTTTAAGACCGCCGGGCTTAATACACAACGCACCGACCCAGCGGGCTTATGAGCCACTCCCAGGTAAAATCATACGATTGGGATAAATGTTTTGTTTGAAACAAAACCTCATTATTATTGGATAACACAGGTGATTCTTTCATTCGGCTAATCAGTTCCAACCAAAGGTGATATTCTGAGATGATAGATAGCAGCGGAGAAAATAAACCATATCCACAAGAGCAGGGGAAACATGGCTATCTGGCTGTGAGGGGATGACTATTTTTGTTTACTTTGAAATACAAGTGATGATCAGAATATGGAACCACAGTTTTTTTCTAAGGAATTGGGGGCACACCTGACTCGGGCCTTCATAATTGCTTGTGGCTTCCTTGGGGGTTTTGTTACCCCTCAATTGATCCTTCTTCCCAGGGCTGGATCCAGGGGAGGGTGTATCGTTCCAGGGTCTTACCACCGGCTCTACAATAGTGATCATAGAAAATGTCAATATATAGAAACTCTGTAATATAAGTAAGATAACACTACCTTTACCCAACATGACACGTCTTTCAGTCCAGATTTCCATGAGTCGAGGTACCTCGGAGATGGGGATCCCTAATTCCTTTGCCTCTTCTTCAGCCTTGGCCTGGAGACGTTTGGCCTCGAACCAGTTGCCAGCGTTGTGGTGGTCCAGGCTGTTGTGCGCAACAAAACTGCCAAAACCCCTACCTTACAACCTAAACCACTTACATATATGAATATATTATTGCATAATCAGAATCTGCATACAATTTTACCCATAGTCACCCACTACAACCATACCTCTATCTCTATTAGTTTAGAAGATAATCCAATATAAAGGTTAAAGCCATACCATAACTAGTCATTAATTAGTATTTAATAGTAGTTTACCACATATATAGATTTACATAAACATAGATTATTACATCAGCAGGCCTCCGCCAGTAGTGCAGACCATTTATGCAATTCTTGCATGCATATGTGCAACCATTAGGCCTCCACTTAGTTACTTAATTGAATTTACACAGACTTTGCATAAATGCATGTGGACAGAAAAACCTCCACCAGGCAGTGCAGGCAGTTATGCAATCCTTACATACAGTAGTACCATATTTAGTTATTTCCACAGCACAATTAGCTCAATGCATGTACTCTTTGCAGGAGGCAGTGCAACCCACAAGGTCACCACCAGCAAAATCACCTCAACTGCATCACCACCAGCAAAAATAACTCAGAAAAGAATATATAAGGAGGCCTCTCCTTCACCAATTCCCCCCCATCATCACCCAGCAGGTTCATCCCCCACAACCAGCTCAGTGGTCATCAACATCCAAGTCTAGGGTCATCAACATCCAAGTCTAGTCAACACCAACACCAACACCAACACCAGCACCAACATCAACATCAACAACAACAACCAACAGTTTCACTACTTATCCAGAATCACCGTAAAACCATAAAACCCTATAAGATATTCCACTTGGATTGTTTTCACACCCACATTCACCGTGTAAAGGTTGTACAACCATCTTGTATTGAATTACATACTGATCTAGGTCTGATAGAGACTACTACATATAAAGTTTTCTCTGTCATAAAGTTACGCCACAACAATAAAATAAATCGTTGTCAGAATTCTTGTGTAGTAAATAGAGGGGCAGGTCTTTCAAACCACCCGTAACAGTAAATATTATCTAGTGAAATATCATTATTGTTATTTCCCCCTCAAGGACTGCCAACCCATCCCAAAGGAGTTCTCACAGCGTCGATACTTCTTTGATAATAAGGACTTTCGGGTCCTAGTCGGCAAAAAAGAGGATGATGATCGGAGTTTGGATCAAGAGGTTCCCAGCATTCAACAGTTAGAGACATGGTAAGGCGCATATCTTCAAGCCACTCATAATGACGTTCGATTTCATTCTCTTTCGCAGTATATTTAGCTGATTTACTGGGGGATTTTTTTTGGCTAGGACTAGACATGGTTTTTGAAAAGTATTGAAATTCTAATCCAAGGATGATCTGTGAGCCGAAAGAATTACACCAAAATAGGATTGGATTTATATGTAAAAAAGGCGAGGAATTTTTAGGGGGGCTTACATGAATGAGCCAACATTCCAAGTTGGGAAGTTCTAACTCAATTAATCTAGGCTTGGTATTTGGGTATTAGGTGAGATTCATCCAATTGAATCGTAGGATACGAGCTGAATCAAGAACTGCTGCACTCTTGCAACTCTTGGGGGGGCTAGACTGGAATAAAATTATGTAGGTTTGCAGAGGGTGTGGAAGAAGCAATGCATCCCCACCTGCAATCCTGTTCTATCCAAATAATCTAATGTGTCTCGTCATCAAGAAACATGCATAAATTGGGTCATTTTGGGAGGAGAAAGCTCATCTTTGCATAAGGGATTTACACTAGATTTGGGGGAGGATTGTCAGATCACTTCAAAGAAACTCGGTTGGTGGGACTTGCATGAAGAAATTACCAATTGGAACCTGCAAGATGATGTCACTGGAAATCCGTTACATCGGGGGATTTAGATAGGCAGACATGAGGTGTAACCCCTGTGTATCCTTCCGGTATCCATGCCATCAGGACATGGATACGTGTTGGATAACAATTGGGAACAGAGGGGTGACATACAAAGACCTTCTGTCCCTTGAAGCATATCCCTCCAAGACTTGATATGTTACCGCCAACTATGACGAGCGTGTGGTAAATTCTCTCCAAAGGGTCATGTTGGTAATACATCACCTCTTCAGCTCACATCAAATCACATGAAGCCCTTAGCCAGACAAGTCACTCAGCTTTCATGATGAATCACAATATATAAATCCCAGGGGCTTTGACTTGTGATTTAATTTTGCCTCACCCCGAATATACTATGCTGCACATAAGGATTCTGACGTATTTTGTATTTGTCCAAACAGCTTAAAAAAGGGGCACAGTTTGAGTGATTTGAAGCATAATCTAGCATCAGCAAGGGCTTCATGCAGGCCAAGGACTGATGAATCATTTGATATGTAGAGAAGATTGCACCATTTGTGGGTTTTAGTTGGTAACTCGGACTCAACATCATGACTTGACCCTTGCAGATGACACACCTAACACAGATGATCACGGAGGGCTTCAAAATCCCTCAAATCGATTATGCAGCTGATCAACAGATTACTTGTGCAGGAAGAATCATTCCAATTAACTTCAGGCTATGTTGCTTCGATTTGCATATGAAAAATGTAGAAAAATTCATTTCGATCATACATGTTTTTTTGGTTCCAACCATTTGAAACCATGATTATTGTCACATGCAAGTACTCATTTTCCGGCCGATCATGTTAGCTCACCCATGTCTCATCGTCCATGGGAATTTATATTCTCTACTGTACTGTGTAGTTTGAGAGTCATTTTGAGCCTCAGCCTTCTCTATCTACAGATAGACAACCTTCACAGCTTCCATAATAAAAACCCCCCTGAAGCTTCTTTTTTACCGTCCCTCATCATCCTCTAGACAAACCATCAATTATCAACCTGAGGTTACAATTTAATTAGTGCTATAACATGACTACCATATCCTATCTATACCAAGCAAGAGATAGGGTTCAATTCCTAAAAGAAGCTGTTTTGTCTTTTGAAGCCATGGTTGCCTTAATGGAGCCGGATAATCTTGAAGGCGATGAATCTACAGAGAGGATGTCTGTTACCAATTGTAGCTATGCGCGTCAAATTGAAGAAGCCCAGAATGCCATCTCCCAACGTAGCATGGAACGTAACATTCCCTATTATGCAGTTCCTGATGCCTTAGTGATTTGGAATATTCGTAGAATGCGCTTGGGTAGAGGTATTTCAGTCATATACTACAAAAACTGTAAATTCTTGACTAACATTTCTGATGTCAGATCCAATCAGAATCCATGGCTGGAAAACCGAACACGAGCGCAGATTACAAATGAGCACTTTCAACAATCAAGGCAATTGATACGCAGGCCCCATGGATTACGAGTTAAAGCTAACTGAAATGTGAGATATTTTTTGGATGAACTTTTCAGGATACATAGTGTTACTCTTACAAGATATAAGCAATTGAACCTAGCCATATGATTGATTGATTATCCCTCATTGTATTTTGTAGGAATCACGGCCATTAAAATCAAGCTGCATGATTTTTGATCTGAAAGTCTGAATTGCTTTGATGTGTCTTCATTCTTATACTCGTCATCTTTTCACCTTGGTTCATCTTTCCAAACCACTTTGCTTCATACCCAAACAATTCCCAGCTAAACTTATTTCATATGAGATCAATAGCAGATTTGGTCTTTATGGAAACAGATTACTTGTTTGGCCAATTTCCATGTGGTGTACATATGTGGTTTGTGTGCTTAAACTCAGAGTCTTGGTACAACTGAAACAATTTGAGTCAACTTGCCTATTTCCATTTGGCCTGCATGTGGTATTTCTTTTGAAACCCTGGAATTACCATACCTCAATGTTGTATTAATCCAAGTGAGTTGAGTTTAAGACTACAAGACCCCTCACATACTGGAATGACAATTCATATACCCACTAGCCTTGTTGGATTAGGTATACTAGTCCCATTTATGTGATGGGCACCAAGCTCTCACCAGTATACTTTGATACGTCTCATGTATGATTGTTAAATATTTTAAGAAACTTTGCCCATTGAGAAGAGGTCAGGAGATCAATTTTAAATTGCTTAGTCTTGAGGTTTTACAGCTGAAAATATGACTTGTGCCATGTGTTATATTTCTGAAATCCACATATACCAAAATTCAGGAATCAAAAACATTCCTGAATTATCTGATGATAAGAAAGTAGTCATCCTCCGAAAACAACCCAATGGTCTTCTCAAGGTGAAGGTAGAGATCCCAAAGCAAAAGTCCGTAATCATTCTCACCTCTGGCTTGAAGAAATAATTCCTAAGGATATAGCCACCATGAAAAGATGGTCTCTTATAAGAGAAATATAATTACTAATGCCTGGGGATTAGGCTTACAAAAATATGGACTTTCCCTTAAAACTTGATTGATCTTAGCACTGGTGTCAAGACTGGATAGCCGAAAGTTCCTATCTAAAGCCTATCGCTTTTTATAGGGGTAAATTGTAGTTTGTTGTCCAAAAATTCATCTCATCTGAGGAGTGGCCCATGCTATCTTTGTATTTTACTACCAAGTAACCATTAATTTCAACACACAAACAAATGATTTAACATCATTGCTTAACCCAGCCAAACTATCCTCATGGAACACAGGGCTCAAGCCCGGCGGTCTTAATTGACCATCCTTAAGCCCGCCGGGTTTAATTTCATGACTCATAATGTTAAGTTTCCCCATAAGCAAAGCTCCCCACAAACAGATAGGAATTTAAATATAGTTGAATCAACTCTGGTGGTCAGTCATTCAATCGATCTCATAAGAAAACATTTGATAAGATACACTACTATATATTTCAGTTCTGTTCAATTCCTACTTCTCTTTTTGTTATTTGTTTCCGGACTACTCAATTGTAACGTCTTTGGAGTAAATTTCCCTTTACCTAACCAATCAAGTGACTCAAGTCAGTTTTTTTTTATTTGATTCACAAATCAAAACATGACCTACTCAACTGCCTGTGCTAGGGCCCGGCAAATTACCAATTCCAAGATCTCCGATACTTCCTCGGGGAATTTGACTCGCACCGGGTCCAATCCGCATCGTCATCTGGTTTAACATCCAGGCTTTGGCCTCCAAACCGATTTCCTTCTGAGGGTCAAGGTGATCTTTTTCGACTTGCGAGAGACTTTGAAGGAATGTGGCATCGTAGGCATCAATTGGAAGCCTTCGTGGGATAACAGCAAGTGGAGTTGTTGAATTTGTAATTAATTCAGGGCTACGGTCCACAAGCTTATGGATAGTCTTCATTTCGGTAGTTGTTTTTGCGACTGTTATCGCAATCTCATCTAGTTTATGCGAACATAGACTGAATGCTTCGCTCCTCCAAGCTAGTTGTATACGCTTTGGTTTTGCTGGAACCGGTTGATCTTCCCAATCGGATACAGCCTCTTTAGAGAATAAGACTGCCAGATTTGGTTCGGCTTTCATCTTTGTAATGGCAAGCCCTTGTCTTTTGTTTGCAATCTTCATACAAAAATCATTCAGTAATTGGCCTGGAGATATGTTTTTAGCAGAAGTGACTTACTTTAACTTTCATACGGCTTATTGCAGCCTTCCTTGACTTCTCAGCCTTCAAGTCTTCCGGTGATTGGCCATTCGTCTGGTGAGCCCGTCTAATTTCTTTTCCTTGGCCACGAACCCATCTATCCAAGATCTGCTCCATGCAACCGACCTCACCCCACATCACACCCGGCTTTGACTTCGCCCAGTTGAAGTAATGCTTGATAACGATGGTAGCCAAACTAGCGTTCCACGAGGAAGAATTGAAAGAACTGGCCTGCCACTCAAAGGTCAAACGTCCAAACCCAGCAATCTGGAGATCTTGCTCGCACGCTTTCTTGATACTCAGTGGAACATCGAGTTCAGTGGACAAAATGTCAGGAGCGGCCGTAAACGATGGTGGGGACAGATGTTTGCGAATACGTGAAACTTCGTCCTGATACACTTTTTGAAAGACTGATTTGGCAAGATTCTTGTTCTTCTCGGAAAATTCTTCCAAGTGCTTCGTTAATTTTTTATAGCGGTTCTCAGTCCAATTGTTCCAAACTTCCCATTCCTCTTGGTCTGGGGGTGCTGGATATGCACTGATAGATTCAGGCATCCCCATGATGAATCTAGTGAAATTTCGGATCGACCGACACAATGCCGTGGACTGATTTGGAAGTCCTTTTCCAACCACGACCCTTCGTACCCTTCGTTCATTCACCTGCGATTTCTCGTGAGCACGTTTTTCACGTTGAGCTCTCAGGTTGTACTTCAGGATGTCCTCAGGATCTTCCGGTTCGCTTTTCTCATCTAAGCATAGGAAGAGAATACAGATGGAACATTAATAGATCAGCTGAAAAGAACAAATTTTTCTTGATTTTCAATTCAAGTCAAAGAATTACCATCTTCAAGAATATTGTCAGCCGTTCCCCCCAAAATCCTATCAAAATTGGAGTCATCCCCCCCTCGATTCCCAGTGGTTCCTCCGCCAGCAGCACCTCGTCCTTCCGCAGATCCTTGACTGTCACCATCACCACCACGCATACTTTCTTCGTCATCCATACTTTCTCTACAATTTTTTATTTGGTAAGTTCTCAGAAATCAGTGTTAATACGCAGATGATTCAATATTCACTAACACAGATTTTTTTAATAGTCTTATTCAAAGGTGTACTGTCAAGTTTCCGAGTTTGTATATATCTATCAGATAAGGGAGGAGAGACTAAGATGATGGCAAGAGTGATAATTCGATTTGATGTGGGAGGATTGATGTTGGAATCCTGATAATCATAGATCCAGGTATCATGAGGAATACAAGCATGCACCCTTCCCTTTGTTCAATTGTTTGGACTTGTCATTTCAGGGAAATAATTTATTTAACCAAACAACACAAAACTTAAAACATCGGTCTAACTCCACAGAAGATTATGCTTTATAAGGTTTGACAATGGAGATTGAATAAAATTTTCAATCAAATACTGGAATGTATAAGTCATTATTCTGATTCGATATCTTGGCTCCATGCCTGTTTAGAAATCATCAAAATTCAAGAAACCGTCAGTCATTGAATTTATTTATCTGTATGAATTTAACCAAATAAAAAAACTTACTATATTCCCCAGGCTAACAGCAGAGATAGTTTCCTTGTTCACACCAAATGTCCCCTCCTCATTCTCCAATATAGCGATATGCCCTACAACCCGTGAATGATGAATGACAAGTTCTCTGCCAAGTTTGTTTGCATATAATAGCCTTGTATTCAACTGCGGATGGTCTTTGTATGGATTCTTTGGTTCATCCCAGCGGTTTAATGTTGCAAAGGGTCGAATCAAAAACCAAACAGTATTTGTAACACTGTCTTTGAATAGCCGGCTAATTCGTCCAAACAGTTGTAATCCCGAATCATAAAATTCAACGTTTGAATTACCAGGAGGCTGACGATGCGAATCCTTTGCGGGAACGTATTTCCGATGAAATATTTCCACGCTCTTCACCTTTACAAATGCCATTTCCAACCCCCTATCAGCCGGCAGTTCATGCCCAAATTTGCTCAACTGAACTTTCCATTGATTATGCACCCTTGAATCAAGTGTTATCTTCTCTTCTTTTTTAGTCATCATAATCAGGGGCATATCTCCAGAGACTTCTTCTCCCATCAATGGCCGCCTGTTGAATTTAGTTTGGTTGATATATCCGTGGTATCGTGATTTCTGATTCCATGTATTCATGATGGTTCCATGCATCTCTCCTGTTGATGTTTTCAATCAGACTTACGATCAATTTACGACAACAGTAGGAATTTATCAGGAATAAAACATACCAAGATGTT